TTTATTGAGCTTACAGTTCCAGGGGAAAGGGTCCGTAAAGGCAGGGGAGGCACAGTGGAAGGAGGCCGCTGGAGCAGAAAGTCGAGCACTCACATCTTCCAGCAGCACAAGAAGCAGAAAAAGACTAGAAAATTGGCGAGGCTTAAGAACTCCCTAAGCTGCCCCCAGTGATGTGCTTCCTCCAGCATGGCCACGCCTCCTAAAACCTCCCAAAACAGCGCCACCAGCGGGGCAAAATGTCCAAATTCTAGAGTCTGTGGGGGACATTCTCATTCAAACCACCATAATGTATGTGTGTGTCTATGTATGTATGTATGTATGTATGTATGTATGTTTGTATGTGTAAGTGTGTGACTGTTTTAGCCACAGGGAAGTAGGACAGGCTGACTCTTCCTTATCTGAAATGCTTGGGACCACAGGGTTTTGGATTTGGGGCCCTCCTGGACTTGGAATATTACATTTACATAATGCAGTATCTTAGGAACGGGGCCAAGTATAAAACAAAATTCATTTACACTTTGTACAAGCCTTGTACACGGAGCCTACATGTAACTTTAGACAACATTTTAAATGACTTTGTGCATGGAGCAAAGTTTCATGGTGTCAGATTTTCTACATGTGGCATCAGATCGATGCTCAGAAAGCTTTGGATTTGGCACATTTGGAGTTCAGACTTGCACGTTAAGGTGCACAGCCTGGACGCACAGAGGCTGAAAGCTCAGGCTCAGGAGCCAAAACCTGGCTTCCAGCTCTGTTCTGTGGCTTTTTCTGGGGAGTCATAAAAAAAAAAATTCAAGGAAGGTGTGTGCACACCTTTAATCCCAGCACTCAGGAGGGAGGCAGAGACAGGCAGATCTCTGTGAGTTCAAGATCAGCCTGGTCTACATAGCAAGTTCATAGGAAGGTCTATATAGTGAAATCCTTCTTTAAAAAAAATTTTAAGAAAAAAGTAGTATTCTCCCAAGATAGAGCGAGCACTGATGCCCACTGGACAGCTGGCCTGCCAGTTCCACAAGTGGCAGCCATGTCCCTCCGGGACACCCTACTTTTCTAATGACACCACAGCTCCTTCCCCTCGTGATAGGGATACAAAACCTGCAACGTTGTGCACATGGCATATCTGGTACACCCCACCAAGGAAGGCAACTGCAGGGAGCTGGACTTCACCGGTCCTTGATTTCCCAGCTGTGAACTGGGAATTCATCCACATCCAGCACCCAAAACCAGCTGTCCACCTAAGGACCCCTATGAGCCAGGCAGATGACATGGTTCATCTTCTTCCTCAGGGTCCTCACTGCCCCCATGTAACAGATGAGCGAAGAGAGGATGAGACTTGGAGGGAGGGCCTCAGTCCACGCAGCCAGTGAACAGCAGATCCTGAGCTACATGCTGCCTGTATCCCACTGTCACCCCAGAATCCTGCAGTCAAAAAAGACATGGAGAGAGTGAGTCAAGTGACACAAACAGGCATGGAAGCCCTTGGGAAGACTTCGGCTCCTGAAACTTCACAGATCAATTGGAGAAGCTGGTCTCCCATCCAGAAGACTCCGCCTGTGGCTGGAGGGCTGCAGACTGACAGCACCGGACCACGCCCAGTGACGTGATAATACTTGATGGACATTGGTCAAATTGCTGGACGTTATCTCTCAACTCTCTGTAAAGCTTTCCCTTTGAAAAATGTCCCCAGCCCCTTGATGACTGGGAGTTCCACGATGCACCCTCTCTCACTGACAGTTGTCCCTCAAGGGGCTCTTTCTCTGGTGCGTCCTGGCTGAGTTCCAAAATGAGAGCACTCGCATTCGTCACTTGGGATTCTCAGAACACTGGTGGTTAAAATGGTAAACTGGCTGAGAAATGGAACGTTCCCTGTTGCAGAGGTGAATAGCTAATGGGCATCGGGAGAACGGAGTTCCACCCACTTCTTTTCCACAGCCCCTCTCATTTCCTCCTCTGTGGTAGATGGCTGGGCTGTGGACAAAGCCCGAGAGTGAGTGAGCTCTTGGGACCCACTGCAGTGCTTTCAGATCTTTGCCCTGTTTCACAGATTCCTGCTTGAGTTGCATGACTCACACTTAAGTACGGAGCGATCAGTCTTTGCTTCTTTCCAGGTACAGGCTGAGTGACGTGGGATTCACTGAAGAGCAGGGGTCTTGGAGACAGACAACTCTGGATTTGAATCCAGCCTCCCAGAGTCACGTGGTTAGGAAATGGCAGAACTGGATAGCCATGCCTGTGTCGTACTGTGACACGCTGCTTCCTTCCAGCAGAGCTCCTCAGATGAGGGTTCCCTGCTCGCTCTCTGTCTTGCCCTCTAGCCACTTCAACTGAAAGCCTAGAAAACAGATAGGATGAGCAGAAGGACAGGAGATGAGCAGGTTATGGATACAGGGTCATCTGTTGGGGCAGGGATGGATGATGGGTGGGTGGATGATGGTTGAATGGATGATGAATGGATGGATAGATTAGATGATAGATGATAGATAGATAGATAGATAGATAGATAGATAGATAGATAGATGATAGATAGATAGATAGATGATAGATAGAGATAGATAGATAGATAGATAGATAGGTGATAGATAGATAGATGATAGATGATAGATAAATAGATGTAATAAATAGATGATATATAGAGATAGATAGATGATAGATGATAGATATAGATAGATGGATAGATAGATGAGAGACAGGTGATAGATAATAGATAGATAGGTTATAGGCAAATAATAGGTGATACATGGATATATAGATAAATGATAGGTGGATGATAGATAATAGAGATAGATAGATAGATAAATAAATAGATATAGATGGATGGATGGATGGATAGATAGATAGATAGATAGATAGATAGATAGATAGATACTTATCTGATGCACACAATAGGTAGATAATGAATGGTTGGATGGATGATGGATAGATGATGGATGGATGAAGGCTGGATGGATACATAGGCAGATGTCTTGGATAGACAGATGAACTGTGGGGTGAGTGGATGTCTTGGTGGGCATGGCAGATGATGAATGGATGAATGGAGACAGCATAGGTGGGTTGATATGTTGATCAGTGGGTGGGTGGAAAGTGGGTGAATGGGTTAGAGGTATGTAGACACATGAATGGAGATGAATGGAGATTGCATAGGTAGATAGTGGGGGTGTACAGGGATAGACTCATGGGAGTGGGTGGACAGATGGATGGCACAGCAAATGAATGCGAACAGAGATAAGTAAATAGATTATATATAAATAATCAGACAGAAATCAGATGGGTGGGGATGTGTCTGTGGATGGGAAGATGATGAATGGCTGGGTAGGAAGATAGGAGCTCAGATGTGGTAGGTAAAGGGCAGGACTCCTAGAGAAGCAACCCACCAGGTTCCAACCTGGGAGACAGACAAAGACCAGGGAAGAGGAGCCATTAGGTCAACGTCTTATGAAGCAGGGCTACTGCCCGGACACCCACATTGACACATGAACACCTACTGGGCAGGCTCACATCCATACCTAGCTGTTACCTGAGGCAGGACTCAATGGTTCTTGTCTTGAGATCACCCATAGCACCCTGAGCGTGACAAAGGCACATAGGTACTGTCTAGGTGAAAGGACATTTTCATTCAAATGGAGGCAACCGCAAGCAACAACGTGCTGTGTCCTGTCTGGCAGAAGCAGTTAAAGTTAGGCCAGGTGCACTGGAAGCCCACATGTTTTGAACAAGGTGGAACTGGTGATAATTCTTTTCTTTGATTGAATACATGCGTGTGCACATGAGCACAAACATACATGTGGGAGCAGAGGTTGGTCATGTATCTTTCTCAATCACTCCATCCCACACTTTGAGGCAGAGTCTCTCACTGAATCTATTGCTCGTAGATTCACCTAGGCTGACTGACCAGCAGGCCCCAGGATCTGCGTATGTCTGCCCCCCCATCCAGTGCTGCTGGTATTAGAGGTCACCATGCCCAGCTTTTATGTAGGTGTTAGGATGGAGCTCAGGTCTTCATGCTTTAACAAGTACTGTAACAACTGAGCCATCTTTCAAGCCCCTTTGCTTTTTTTTTTTTTAGATAAGCTCTTGCTTTGTAGCCTTGGCTTGCCTGACGCTATGTAGCCCAGGCTGGCTTCAAACGTGGTAATCCTTCGGCCCCTGCCTCCTAAATTCTGGGATTACAAACGTGCCACCACACCCAGCCAGCAGGAACTATTTGCAACCTCACACAAGGGAGTTCTTTACGTCTGGTGGATCATGTTGCCTCCTGTACACCTCCTACCCATTTAGGATAAGGAAACAGAGACTCAGAAGGGCTCAGAAGCTAAGGAAGGCAACTCAGGAGGAGGTGTTGAGAACCAGGGTTTCAGCTGGGTTCTCTGCTGCTCTGAAACTCTTCTCTGTCCCCACTGAGTTCCTCCCTTCCTCCTCTAACCTGAGCGATGTACAGGTAGTAGCCGCTGTGGCAGTGACTTGAAGGTCCGACAGCATCAGAGGGATACTGACACCTTCCGACGGTGGCAGCGGCCAGGTGGCCTCCTACTCCCTCAGCACAGTCTGTCACAGGGTGTTTTGTCAGTCTGGGTGTTTGATGGTTCAGATATCTAGCTGAGGGATTATTTGACCAATGCTTGCCTCCCCTGCAGATACAAGCTCTGTGAGGGTTTTGCTTACCAGAGCAGCCCCTCCCCCCGGGTATGGCAGCTGCTTTGTTCATGGACATTCACAGAATAAATGGCTCATGGGTTCACCAACAACCAGTTGGCTGTAAACATGGACAAATTGTATCTGCAATGATCCAAAAGTGCCACAGGGATTCATGAGATAGGAATTATTACATCTGATTTATAGACAAAGAAACTGAAGCCCCGTTATTAAGTCACTGAGCCAGTACATCAGAGCCCTGCACTGGGGTCATGCCTTCCCTGGCAGGCTGTCTGCCAGGCATCTCTCCTGAGCTTGTGGCCACACCCAGCCCGGCATCTCTAACTATATCTGTGCTATGCTTGTTGCAGACTCCGGAGGCAGCAGGGACAGGATGGCCAGTGCTCAGAGTTTGAAGGCCGAGTGGGAAGCCAAACCTCAAGCAAGATCCAGGATGGTCGTAACAACAATATCTTGACCCACACATGCCCAGGAGGCTGCAGCAGCTAAGTCCTTCCCGCAGCCGGCTGCCCAGGTGGCACGCTCTCCACCCTGCCACCCAGAATCCTTCCTCTGTGCCCTGATGGTTCCCACCTCAATTCTAAAAGCATCAGATGCAGAGAGCCCTGAACTCAGAGCTGAGAAATCTGGGTTCTGGTCCCTGCTGTCAACTGGTTTGCTGTGTGACCTTGGACAAGTCACACTACCTCTGTGCTTCAGTTTTCTGTATCTGTGGAGGTGGTTAAACAGCTCTCTGCCCCACCTCCAGTAACAATATTGTTGTGAGAATCCAGCTGGATTTCAGACATGTAAAACCTTGGGCATTTATACAATTGTTTATACATGAAAAATATAATATTTGACGTGAGCTCCCATCTCCCAAAAAAATTTAAACCGTCATACCTGCAATTCGGCCCATCCTAGTTTGTTAGATGGTCCTTTCAAAACCTTTGGCAATGAACACATCTGACACACTTACCCTCCTACAGAGATGCCACTTTCAAGCTCCCAAGCAACCTGGAAGTGTCAGCCACAAGCTTCCTGACCTTCTAGACAGGTGCATCATGTGGACCAGCCTGCTCCCCAAGGACTCTGAGCCCCAGACCACTCCCCCTGACGCATGGAAGGCTGTTTCCACCTTTGGATTTCACAGTCACCAGCTCCTGCTTGTGCTGGGATGTGACGCAGGACCCCATTACAGGAACCTGGTCATTGGTCATTGCTTACTCCCTCAGAGTATCATGGGAACTTGAAGAAGACCCAGCCCAGGAGAACCTGGATCCCCACAATCCTTCCTAGGAAGGATATAAAATAGACCAGTCAGCCTTCCATACAAAGGCTGCCTGGCTAGGTGGACAGGGCTTCCTATTGATATTAGGAAGCCTAGGTGCTTAAGTGTCTATTCTAGAAGGATGGTAGGTTCACTCAGGAAGCAAAGTACTGTATGACCTGACCAGGGAGCAGTTGACCCTTAAGCTGGGAACTCTAAGGCCTACCAAAGAAGGCGGGACTTAGCTATTAGGTGGCAGCCGGCTGTAGGCTGCAGAACCTCAGGTGAGTCACATGATTGCTCAAGGGTCGTTTCTTCATTGTCAAACAGGAAGGAATGGGCTAAACCTGCAGGATTGTTATGGGGTTTGACAAGATCCAGCTTGTCACACTCGGTACAGTGATGAATGACAACCAGTAGCCATTTGTCACCTTCCTCTTCCTCCTCCTCCGCCTCCTCCTCTTCCTGTTCCTCCTCCTTCCCTTCCTCCTCCTCTTCTTCCTCTTCCTCCTCTTCCTCTTCCTCCGCCTCCTCCTTTTCCTCTTCCTCCTCCTCCGCCTCCTCCTCTTCCTGTTCCTCCTCCTTCCCTTCCTCCTCCTCTTCTTCCTCTTCCTCCTCTTCCTCTTCCTCCGCCTCCTCCTTTTCCTCTTCCTCCTCCTCCGCCTCCTCCTCTTCCTGTTCCTCCTCCTTCCCTTCCTCCTCCTCTTCTTCCTCTTCCTCCTCTTCCTCTTCCTCCGCCTCCTCCTTTTCCTCTTCCTCCTCCTCCGCCTCCTCCTCTTCCTGTTCCTCCTCCTTCCCTTCCTCCTCCTCTTCTTCCTCTTCCTCCTCTTCCTCTTCCTCCGCCTCCTCCTTTTCCTCTTCCTCCTCCTCCGCCTCCTCCTCTTCCTCTTCCTCTTCCTCCTCCCCCGCCTCCTCATCTTCTTATATTTATCATCAGCATCTTCCTCCTGATCTTCCTCCTCCCCCTCCTCCCCTTCCTCCTCCTCCTCCTCCCCCTCCTCCTCATCCTGTGGAGGTACTTCCTTGTTTTGCTGACATGGCTGCTCTGTTTCCTGTGGACCGAGGCTCTCCCTTGTCACAGTTCCTCTCCCTTTCCCACCTGGAGCCTCTGCTGTCTGGCCCTCTGTGGCGTTCACCCCTTTCCACCTTTCCATCTCTTTGCATCTCCCACTCTCACAGGGTGACTCAGTCCTTAGCTGTCCCTGTCCTCTCTGAGATCTCCTGAGAGACATTTTAATGTATGATAAGGTTTTATATATCTTCTTCAAAAAACAGTCATTGTTACCCCCTCCATTTTAAACTGGGTCTGTTTTTAGCTGTTGTTACCCTGTCAGCAATGTCTGTGTGGTCTGCTGTCTCAAGGCCCTGTCAACCTCTCCTGCTTTCCCAGATGACCCAGCTGTACCTCCTTCACTGTGATCTGGAAGCATCATAATTTCTTCTAGGGACTAGCTCACGAATGAAGTGGGAGGTGGAAGTGGACCCAGGGGTCCTGATTTCCTGACTCTGTTTAAGTCAGCATTCCTTGTTCAGAATAAATGATTACTTGGACATTCCTTGTATAATGTCCTTAATTCAGGAATGGGTGGGATAGACCTTGTTCTTATACAGAAGGGGCTCAAATGTAATCAGAAGCAGAGGCTGAGTGGAGCGACCATCTTTCTGTCACTGTAACAGAACACCTGAGATAATTAAGTTAGAAAGAGAAAAGGTTTCTTTTGGCTCCTTGCTTTAAGGCCTGTGGGGGAGGGAGGCAGTGCAACATGGCAGGAGTTCATGGAGCAAAACTGTCTATGTGACAAGCCATAGACGAAAAGAAATACAGAGAGGCCGGGATCCTACTGTGTCTTCCAAGGGGGCGTGCCCTCATGACCCAAACTCCTCCCACAAGGCCCCACCCCTCAAAAGCCCCACCACCTCCACGTGGCAGCATCTCAAGGACCGAGCCTTTAAAACACAGACTGCTGGGAGACATAAGATCCAAACTGCAACAGACAAGGTCCTGTATCCGTGACACACAGATGAACTCAGGCTGAGAGTGGTCACTCAAGGGTCTCCCCAACCTGACCACAATTTATATGATTATATTGACAAAGATTTAATATGTCCACCAGAGAAGAAATCCAGAAACAGCACACACAGAAAAACTCTTTCAAATGTCGTCAGGTCCCCACCCAGAACTTTGCGTACCCGGACAGTCCGCGTTTTCATTGCTCAAAGCTTTGGAGCTCTCCTCCGTGTTCCACCCTGACTTTCAGTCTCCCATCCACACACGTCACCACAACCACTTCTCAGATGTCAGTGTTACCTCATCCGTGTCTCTTGGTGCTGTGGCAACACTCATGCCAGACGTAGCCCTAGCCATGAACCTGTCTTGGAACTTCCAAGAACATGTACCATAGCTTTCCTGAGGTCCTAGCTGCTGCCAACTGACCCCCAATTTCTTTCACCCCCTGGCCCTCAACCTCTCTGAAAGGTCCCGGTTCTGCCTTCTCATGTCACCCTCTGCCCTGTGCCCACACAGCACCTGCCTGGTAAGAAGCAATCAGCAACTTTGGAATGAATGGGATGGGGGAGCCCAGCAGAATGCTCTATGTGGGGCTCTTGCTTTGGGCTACTCCACTGTCTCCTATCTACTCCCCTGCAGCTCCTGGGGCCTTTTCTGACCTATGAGGGGCTACTCCAGTGGGGTGTTTTTCTGTTCCCCAAGCCTCCTTAAAGCATCCTCCCCCTGAGTCCCACATTCCAGTGAGTTCTCCCTTCTGTCTCATTCAACCCTCATTCCTGCAGGACATGGCCCTGTGACCTAGCTTTGGCAGATGAGCCATCAGATTTAATACTTCATTCTTCCTCTTGATATAGAACAGGATGCTCTTAGGATCAGGGTTGGGGAACCAGATACTCTGTGGTCCAGGGGTCCCACATTTTGCCAATGTCCTTCACAGAGAGTCCCCTCTCTTTAGCAATCCTTGAGGCTTAAATAGCCTTGGGGAAGTAGGAGCCTCAGGAATCTTGTAGGTTTGGGGGACTTCCTGAGACTCCTGAGTCGAGTCGTTCCTTCCTGAGGCTTATGGAGCCTTTCCCAAGAATGGGACATTTCAATTGGGAGGAAATTGCTACTCAGCACCTCCACATCCACAGTTCCACCCACATGAATAGAAAATATTTTTAACTGCATCTGTACTGAACAGATATTCCTTTTTTCTTGTCATTACTGCCAGAACAATGCAGTTTAACACCTATTTACACAACATTTACATAGTGTCAGGAACTGTGGAGAACAGATGCTCCACATTTTGCTTCAGGGTGAGCAGAGGCTGTGCGCAGACTTAGACATTGCAAGGGGTTAGAGCATCCTCCTGTTTGGATAACCAGTCCTGGAACGCCTATGGAAATAATTCCTTCAGATGGCTGTGCATGCCAAGCAAGAGTTCTCAGTGTTTAGATTCACCACAGACACCAGAGCGGGATGGGCACCAGGAGTGCTAACAGGGCTTTCCTGTCTCCACTAAGGAAGCCCTTCTGCCGCTAAGTTCACCTGGGTCCACCTTGGCAGTGCACATCCAACTCTGAGTGCCCCGAGGCCTCCAGGTTGACCAGCAGCCATTCTAGCATTTTCCTCAGGATCCTCTTCCTCCTCAAGCTTTCCTGATGGATAGAAAGACTCACTGGCCCATCAGACTGGGGGCCCTGGGGTGGGGGGAAGGGAAGCCCCAGAAAGCCCCATGCTGCCCACAGATTTGATCTCTCTGGACTGTGCTGACATCGGATCCCCAGGACATTTGTGGACTAGGACTATCCCCTTCAGGTTTCTGCTAGGACACAGCCTTCCTGCCTCTTCTTCCCGTTGGGTTGGTTGTGGGGGTGGGGGTGGGGGTCATCAGGCCTCTTCTCAGCATCTACTCAGCACTGTAGGAATCACCCCACACAGGCAGTCTTAGAGTATGCCAAGGAAGCTTGCCAAGGAGAGGCAAAGTTAAGAAGGCCCAGGACTCCTCTCCACCTCCACCCTTACCCATCCTTCAGGCTAGACCACTGCACTTCCCTGCTCTGCGGAGGTCCTGGAGCCACAAGCCCACTTGTCACTTTTTGTTGGTACCAAGAAAAGCATTGCTTCTGGGTGTGTCTGGGCTGCTAAGCACCACTTCCAAAGGCTTCCCAGTGCAGGCAGGGATGGTGTAACAACACTTCAGTCAGTAGCATTACCGTCCCATAAGGCAACAAGAGCTGACAATTCTGATTGCCTGGTGATGTCATAGTCACATGACATCATAG